AAAATAGAAATTTTTGGTGGATTGATCCTTTCCATGCTTCCTCAAACTCTCGAAGTAGAATGACTAAAAAAAACAAAGAAAAAAAATTGTCGTATATATATTGGTAATGTTTCAATTTAGAGAAGCAAGACAGCAATGTCCCTCCGCTTCTATTTTAGCCATTAATCTTTTTTTAATATATTTATAAATAGCTGTAAACGTTTCAATGTAAATTTCAGATTGCTAGTTAATTAACGAAATTACGGCCATATTTTGAATTTTTTTATTATTTATGCTTATTTGATTTTTTCTGTTGTTATTAGTTGCTATTTTTCTAATTATCCTCAATTGAAAAGGATAATAATAAATAAAACAAAAAATTTATGGGAAATTTGTTGGCTCATCTCAGAATAAATAATAAAAAAAAAGTTTTGAATTTGCTTGCAAAAAAAATCTTTATGATATTATTTTGCTATCCTTAAAAATTGATAGAAAATATAATTAGGCTTTACTTGGGATGGCTATCTTACAACATCTTAAAGCTGTTTTTTAGTACAAAAATTAAAATTTTGTTACTAGAAAGCTGCTTTAAGAAACATTAAGAAAGACGTCCAAGACAAAGCCTTAGGCTTCGTTTGGAACAGCTTTCTTTCTGCTTTTTAAAGCAACTTCCAAGCACAAAAAACTTTTATTTTTGTACTAAGAATCTATTTTAAGAAGCAATAAAAAATCATTCCCAAACAAAACCTTAATCTAACTATTGATATGTTCATCTATTTGATCCCTAATTAGGTCCCACATTTAAATTTTGTTCACCTTAGTTTCCCATTCATTGAAAAGAAATTATTTGAGCAAATTTTATTTTTATTTTTTATGCACATAAAAGTTTATTAAATATTTCTTGATTACTAAAAAAATTAAAATAATCTGACCATCTTTTGATCCTTTTTTAAATTAACAAAAAGTAAAGATAAAATTATTGATAAATTGAGATCTAAGATTTCAATTTTGAGGGCAAAAATAATTTTTTAGGAGGGGCAAAAGAATTTTTTTACTCTCCTATATATAAAAAAGAAATTTATTTACTCTTATAAATAAAAAAAAAAAAATTTTTGAGGGGGGACAATTGCCCCCCCTAAGCACTGTATGGTTCCGCCAGTGGGAAGAAAGCTACGTCTCTCTGCTTCTATTTGGATAATTAAACTGTTTTTTTTTTTTTTTCTGAGGAAGCACTGTTCTTAGGCCAGTGAAAATCTGATCGACCTAGCATGCAACTCACTCCAATTTACACGAGCTAACACTTAAGACTTTCACTGCTTGCCAAGGAATTCGAACCAGGGACCTAGGCTTTGTCCAGCTGTCTCTTCACCACCCTGACAAGCAGCGGTGGGTATTAATCTGTTTTCAGTTTAATTTTTTTTTCAAAGTTATTAGTTATTTGTTAACTAAATGAGGTGACACATTTTTATTTTATTTTATTTTTTTTTGCGTGTGGCTGACTCTTTAAAAGTGCAGTTATTGATATTTTAATTTATCCAATTTGAATAAAATAAAATAAAAACTATATAATGTGTGGCCTTAAAAAAAGTTTGACTTATTTCAATGAAAAAAAAACGGGTTTTTATCTTATTTGAAAGGTGTGGGCTCATTTTGCTACCTTAAAAATGAAAATAAAAAATATATAGCCTACCTTAACTCGTTTTTTAAAAAAAGTTAATATAATGCACACTTAAATCTATTAAATTATTAAATTCAAAATATACTAATGAAAAGCTTTCCTCCAATAGTTTCCATCCAAAGAAAAAAATAAAATTAGGGGATTAAATTGAAAACTTAAATATTGAGACTAAGGCTTCATTTGAGACGATTTTTTTGTTATTTTTTTAAAACAGCTTTTCAATATAAGTTTTTAAATATTTTTGAGACGATTACATATAAATACAGTAAGTAAGGCTTCATTTGAGACGATGATTAAATATAAAAATAGAAAAAAAGCCATCCCAATTCAAGACTAAGGCTTCGTTTGGGATGGCTTTCTTACTACTTCTTAAAGCGGCTTTCTAGTATAATATTTTTAATTTTAGTACTAAAAAGTTGCTTTAAGAAGCATTAAGAAAGCCATCCCAACTAAGGTTTCATTTGGGGCAGCTTTCTTATTGTTTTATAAAGCAGTTTTTTAGTGCAAAAATATCTTAAAAGTAAAAAAAAAAAATACAGTGGTCTAATCTGTCCCAAATGAAGCCTTGAGATAATTTTCTTACTACTATGTTTTTCAAACAACTATTATAATTTCTATTTAGCCACTGCTTTTTGCTTCTTTTAAAAAAAGTATCTAGAGAAGGGCTTGACTTTGGATGAGTTTATAGCACGCTCCAAGGGTAAATTAAGAAAATGAATACTGCTATTCTGTTTGATTTTTTTTTTTTTTTATTCAACTTTCTCGCATAAATAAGATATTCCTATTATCCTTTAAGGGCATCTCCAACTAAACTTTATACCTCTGTTTCGCTTCCGTGAACTTCTCCAACGGAACGGCAAGAGGCGTTCCATTCTCTCGTTCTTGAACAGTGCAATGCCAATATTAGCGATGCACTGTTCACAAACGCATTTTTTGTGGGAACTTAGAAAGCGGAGGGGAGAAGGGCTACCGTGTGTGATTGAAAAAGAATATACACATAATATTTCTTTTTTGTGTTAAGAAATAGAGTTCGATTGGAGATGAATTACTGCGTTTTGAAGTATTAATATATTTTGGAGTAGAAAATGAGTTCTCGGTTGGAGATGATCTAATAAGTCTATTACCATCTTACATATGAAAAATCTGCATTAAACTATAGCAAATTATTCTTAAGAAACTTGCAAAGTTTTATTGAGAAGCCATCAACCAAAACAAACATAAGGTTTCTTGGCAAATTCAGTTGACATGATCCTTCATCTTATAATTGTATGTCCTTTCTTTACCTAATAGAACAACTTTTTTTCACACGCGCAAAAACTTCTCACTAAAAGAGCCGCCTAGAAATGGCCCAGCAGAAATCTACTGTAGAAGATAAGAGATCAAAAAAAGAAGACAAGTAAATGAACTGTGAACGTCACAATGGTGTAGAACCTGATCGGAAAACCTCCGCGAAACCTGCAATCGAAGACCCTGCTTTCAAAGGAATACGCAATGGAACAGTAACGATAGCTTAATTTTAATAAGTGGAAAAAAACTAGCATGCCTCCTCCATCGACAAGGCATATAACAGGAGACAATTAACAATAATAATATCGAAAAATAACTAAGTATTAAGCAAAGCTAATGATGAAGTCGTTAGGAGCAGAGGTGGAGAATAGGAATTCCTTCAGAGTAGTGGCCACGGTGGCAAGCGTCCTGACAGCGGAAGTGGCCACGTGGCAAGCCGTCGCCTTAGCGATCTGATGTTCCCCAAGAGCTGCTTATTAACTGGTGCCTGGAACCACATCAGGTTCCTCCCGCTATAGAAATTTCAGGTTCCACCTGAATATGTGAACTGCCTGCATCATCAGGAGGATGATACGGAAAGAGATCCTCGACATTGAAGGTCTTTGAGGTATGCATAGTGTCCGGCAGATCGACGACATAAGCATTGTCGTTAATACGTTTGAGAATAGGCACGGGCCCGAATTTACGAGGACTCAATTTTGAATTTGCACCGGCGGGAAAACGGTCTTTATGAAGTCGTATAAGAACGAGATCACCAGGTTGAAAAGAAACATGACGTCGGTGAAGATCAGCGGCTTTCTTGTAGGTGTTTTTTTCTGAGGAAGCACTGTTCTTAGGCCAGTGAAAATCTGATCGACCTAGCATGCAACACACACCAATTTATACGATCTAACACTTACGGCTTTCACTGCTTGCCAATGGATTCGAACCAGGGACCTAGGCTTTGTCCAGCCGGCTCTTCAGTCTTCACCACCCGGACAAGCAACGGTGGGTATTAATCTGTTTTCAGTATAATTTTTTTTTTCTCGAAGTTATTAGTTATTTGTTAACTAAATGAGGTGACACATTTTTATTTTTTTTTTATTTTTTTGCGTGTGGCTGACTCTTTAAAATTGCAGTTATTAATATTTTAATTTATCGGATTTGAATAAAATAAAATATAAACTATATAATGTGTGGCCTTAAAAAAAGTTTGGTTTATTTTAATGAGAAAAAAAAAACTGTTTTTTATCTTATTTGAAAGGTGTGGGCTCATTTTGCTACCTTAAAAATGAAAATAAAAAATATATTTTGCCTACCTTAACTCGTTTTTTTTTTTAAAAGTTAATATAATGCACACTTAAATATATTAAATTATTAAATTATTTAAATATTTATAAAAATGTATCTCGCTTGGTTATTATTTCTCCTCTATTAATTTTTTGTTGATTTTTTCATCTTTATTACAATAGATGCTTTAATCAAAATGATTTCATCTCTTACCTAATAAATAATATGATTCGAACTTGTAGAATTAAGTTTGGGATCAATCTCGAATTCTCGATTGATGAATCAAATGAAAATTCAAATAGGAGGAGACTTGAGCTGACTCGACTCATTTACACCCTTAAACTAAACAAATAAGTAAATAAACTTATTCGAAGCAAAAATACACTAACTAAGGGTTTGTTTGGTTGGCTAAAAAGGAATACATTTAAAAAAATTAATTTAAAATGAATAGTAGAATGCAATATAAAAGTAATAATTTAGAGTTGTTTGAATAAATATAAAGTAAATGCAGGTGAATGTTCTTTTTTTATTTGGTTAGAATTAATAAATGTAGTTTAAAGTTCAATGATAATGACAACGATAGCGGTGGTGGCCTATGGCGGTCAACGGTGGTGGTCGGTGGAGACCGGCGATGGGTGATGGTTGCGGCCTTGATGATTACCTATGGCTTAAAATTCAGATAGAAAACAACTATGATTAAATTTAGCTTATTTCAATCTTAAATGAAGTGGACTTCGAATAAATCTTGAATCAACTTGATATCAATGCACTAACAAATCTAAAAATAATAATTGAGATAATTGAGAGGCAAACAAAAGCCAAGAAAACTACCTTATCCCATCAGATTTGAAGCCACCGAAGATCACTAAATCTCAACTATGCTCATCCACAGGCCATGCCTTCCTTCCTCCGGCCATCTCCAACCACAAGCCAGTTCCAGTGACCTCCTCTTTCGTTCAAAGATTTCCAACCTTAGCTTCAGGAAGTCCAAGACGTTCCAATGTTCAAGTTTTGCAGAGCAAGGAGAAGGGTGATCAGGTATGAGGAAGACAATAATTAATGTTGAAGAAGAAGAAGAAGAAGAAGAGGATGAATACAATGCAGAGATGGCAACGCTTGAGTCCTACACTGAATCAGCTCGATCCGAAGTTCTTCTTGTTGTAGCCACAGTGGACGGTGTAGTGGAGCAAGTACTCATATTTAAGGTACTGCTTGCTTTGGAAATTATTTTCTGGTTCTTTTAAATCACAATAAATGATCGAAATGATTCTTAGATTTTGTAGATATTTTTTTTAGTACAAGATTTTTGTAGTTTTTTAATTTAATTTCTCGACTTATCAAACATAAATCAATTAATCTTACATGAAATTTAGCTGTTTTTAAGATTAAAATTGATGGAGAAAAATTTTTATGAGTGTGTTTTACACTCATTGAAGCTCAAATAATGTATTTCATAGTAAGATTAATTCTAAAAAATTCAAAAATATTATAATGAAAAGCTTTCCTCTAATAATCTCCATCCAAAGAAAAAATAAAACGAAAATTTACATACATACCACTTTATTTCATGTTATTTACATATCTAACATCCAAAACATTAATATTACATGCCTACCAGCCATATACAACTTTAATATCAAATATATCACTCATACAATTCATTTCTACCATTCATACAATCTTATAAATTTTAATATTTCATTCCATGCACTCAAATTTGTTATATGGGTGGTAGTTATGTAATATTAATATTTGGAGTGTTAGATATATAAATAGCATGAAATAAAGTGGTATGTATGTAAAACCCCCAAAATAAAATTGAGGGATTAAAATTGAAAACTTAAAAAGTGAGACTAATATTTCATTTGGGACAGTTTTTTTGTTGCTTTACAAAACTGTTTTTTAATACAAGAATTTCTAACTCAATAATCTTTTTTATTAAAAAGTCGTTTTAGAAAGCAGCAAAGAAGTCTTTCCCAAACAAAGCCAAAGACAACTATCTTACTGGTTTATAAAGTTGCTTTTTAATGCAAACATATCTTAAAAGTAGAAATAAGTAGTAGTCTAAAGTTGTCCCACACGAAGCCTAGGGATAATTTTATGCTTTGTTTTTCAAACTACTATCGTAATTTCTATTTGGCCACTTTTTTATGTTTGAAAGAAAAAAAAAAAAAACCAAAAAGCTACTTTCTAGAACAATTTAAAAAAAATAATTTCTCTACAATAATTTTATAAAATATTAAGAAAGTTGTTCCAAACAAAACCTAAACTCCCCACACCCGAAAAGTTTATAGTTTCATTTTTGATCATTTACTTGAGTGTTAGTATATGATTTATGATTTGGACTGAAAATGGATGCCCTGCGGTTGTTAGGGATGCTCATCCAGCTTAAGTTCCAGAACTGCAATAGATCCTTCAAAGAGTGTTCTACTTGCAAAAGCTATCATTCAGTCAATTGATGTAATAAAGGGACCGTTTGATCCATCCTGCATTGAGTATCTAGAGAAGGGCCTGACTTTGGATGAGTTTATAGCACGCTCCAAGGGTAAATTAAGAAAATGAATACTGCTATTCTGTTTAATTTTTTCAATTGTTCAACTTTCTCGCAAAAATAAGATATTCCTATCATCCTTTTAAGGGCATCTCCAATCTAATTTTAAACTCCTATTTGGCACTGCGAACTTCTCCAATCGAACAACAAAAGGCGCTCCATTATCTCATTCGTGAACAGTGCGATGTCAATATTAATGACGCGCTGTTCACAAACGTATTTTTTGCTGAAACAGAGAAAGCTAAGGGGAGAAGGGCTACCGCGTGTGATTAAGAAAGAATATACACAATATTTTTTTTTTTTTTTTGTGGGTAAAGAAATAAAGTTAAATTGGAGATAAATTACTGCATTTTGAAGTATTACTATATTTTAGAGTGTAAAATGAGTTTTTCAGCTAGAGATGATCTGATAAGGCTATTACCATCTTACATACGAAAAATCTGCATTAAACTACAACAAATTATTCTTAAGAAACTGGTAAAGTTTTCTTGAGAAGCCATCAACCAAAACAAACATAAGGTTTCAGTTGGCATGATCCTTCATCTTATAATTGTATGTCCTTTCTTTACCTAATAGAACAACTTTTTTTCACACGCGCATAAACATTTCACTAAAAGAGCCGCCTACAAATGGCCCAGCAGAAATCTACTCTCTGTAACATAACAAATATTAATGTAGAAGATGAGAGATCAAAAAAAGAAGACAAGTAAATGAACTGTGAACGTCACAACTATCAAAAGAATAAGAATAACGTTAAGATCGGCTGAATTCAGACAGTCCAACGCTGACAGTATCATGGATGTAGTTCTATACGAGATATTCACCCCATAAGTCACATATAGTGCTGTCCAAATTTTAGCAGATTAAAGTTCCGTTTGGAACATCTTTTTTACTGATTCTTAAAACAGATTTCTAGTAAAAAATTAAAATTTTCTCTCCTAAATGAACAAATGAATGAAAACCGAGGTAAGATATATAGCACAAGTTTTACCTTTCCTCCTTAGACCGTTTAATCTGCAGATATTATTCATCAGTAAGTTGAAAAAGAATACCGTTAAAATGGAGCTTTGTTCTATAGCCTATATTATTTCCATGCAACCGAATCAATTTCATCTCCTCCTGACTTGTATTGTTGAAGTCGCCTAGCTATTGCATCTCTCTACTCCATCAGGCTCGGCTCTTCATCCAGCATTGAACTGAGCTGTTTCTTCTGCAATATGCAGACAAAAAACACTTTAGTTCCACTTTATGGACAACTGGAAGCATTCTAAAACTGTGCTGAAGGCTTCCAAGAACAGAAATATCAGATTTGTAAATAAGATCAAGGTTTTGTTTGGGACTACTTTTTTAGTGCTTCATAAAGCAGCTTTTTAATACTTGAAAGTTGCTTTAAGAAACGACAAAAAAAGCAGTCCCAAACGAAACCTAAATTGAGTGTGACACAAAATCTTCAAGATGCATGTGTGATAAAATTATGAAGGATAGAATGCGAAATAATTGTAATTAGAGAGATTATGGGAGTAGCATTCCTGAAGCAAATGTTGTAGGGAAAAAAACTTGCGGATATAGGCATGCAAGATACAAAGCAGAAGATCCGACCAAAAATTGAGACAAAGTTAATTAAGGTAAAATGTATAAGGAAAAGTGGTAGAATTGCATTAACTTGGCTACGATGTGAAAATAAACCTGCACTAGTTCATTTGCAGCAGCTGCTATGTCAAATTTCAGAGTAGGGAGCCCCTTCAAATCCTACTAAATCCAAAGTATCATCAGCATTGAATAGATAGAAATCAAGAAAATATCAAACGAACAAGAAAGGTAACAGGGAAAGTTCCATGACCGTTAACATAAATTTTCAAAAGGGATCCTCTACATCCAATAAAATTGAAAATATTTCCCAAGTTGAAATCAAATCGCCACCTTTTTTGTAAACCAGACCCAATTCATTTCACATATAGCATTCATGTTAGATTCTAATGCATAAAAGGTTACAAGAACATGTTGAGAACAATCCAGTATGAGAGATAATTGAGAAGATATCAACTAAAAGAAACATTTCTTGATCAGTCCTTGGGTGGCATGCAAAGTTTCCAACAAAGAAGCGATCTTTAGGCAATGATTACATAAAAGTAGTTCATCTTGGACTGTTTGTTGGGGGCTGTGGCTACTAACCGATAGGTCTTAAATTTAAAACTTACGTATGTGATGATGTGTGTATGAGTTTACCTTACTGACTCAAATGTCCCCAAAAAAAAAAAAAATAAAGATGTCGCAGATTGTGGTGCACACATAACTATGCATGGTCTGTAAACATCCTGCATTGAAAACCTTAGGAAGCAAAAAACAGAGAAGAGAAGTTAAAGCTTCAGAATAATTCCTTGATTCTCATTAACTCCCAGCTTTACAAAGCTACAGTATATAAAGTATATTATGGGGAGCAAATCCTGACTTAGCCGCTAATGGCAGTATGACAGGCAGATAGGACACAGAGGTAGTGCTCACACAACAGTGTTCAAGTGCTGGAAACCGGATAAGCTATCTCTATCTGCAGATATATTCTAACAGTCCCCCTCAAACTCAGCATTGGAGGAGCGAATGGTGAGTTTGTCGCGTAATTGGTTGAAATGAAGAGGAGATAAGGGCTTAGTAAGAATATCTGCAATTTGATTCTTGGAGTGAATGTGCCGAATGGAGACCGCTTTAAGCTGTATATGTTGGCTAATAAAATGATAGTCAATCTCAATATGTTTCGTGCGTGAGTGAAACACAGGATTGTGAGCTAACGCAATAGCTAAAGTATTGTCACAAAAAATGGTAGTAGGCCCGGACTGCAATAAGGATAGATCATCCAATAAGCGACGAAGCCATATAATATCAGACATTGCAGAAGAAAGGGCTCTATATTCAGCCTCAGTGGAAGATTTAGCGACTGTGACTTGCTTTTTAACACACCAGGAAATGAGATTTGACCCGAGATAAGTACAGAATCCAGTAACTGATTTACGATCTGCTGGATCGGAAGCCCAATCAGCGTCAACAAAGGTCGTGAGTTGGAGTGTGTCGGGTGTTAACGGTAGACCAAAAGCTTTGGTTCCCTGGATATACCATAAAAGCCTTTTAACTGCAAGAAAATCTGCATTTGTAGGTGCATGCATATGCTGACAGATATAATTAACAGCGAAGGCAATGTCCGGGCGGGTAATAGTAAGATAGTTAAGTGACCCAGCTAAACAACGATATAAATTGGGATAAAAAAATGGCTGCTGGGCAGCAACAACTTTAGATGGCTTCAGCGTAAGAGGTGTAGGAACTGGTGTGCAACTGGAGAAGCCAGCTGAATGTAGGAGATCAGTTGCATACTTAGTTTGATGCAGGATGAGAGCACCAGGTTGCCGCTTGATTTGAATGCCAAGAAAGGTGTCAATTGCACCTAGTTGCTTAAGAGAAAAGGCAGTTTTAAGTTGCAGTAACAGTTTGTCAATGGTAGGAGTGTGGTTACCAGTAAGAAGCAAGTCATCCACATATATGAGAAGATAAAGTCGGACCAAATCCTTGCGATAAATGAGCAGCGAAGGATCAGCCTTGCTGAAACCGAAGCCAAACTGAACGAGAAAGGTAGTTAGTTTATTGTACCATTGATGTGGTGCTTGTTTAAGCCCATAAATAGCTTTGTGAAGACGAGACACATAGTGAGGATGAGTTGTATCGGCAAAGCCAGGAGGTTGTTTCATATAAACTTCCTCATGAAGGTCTCCATGTAAAAAGGCATTTGAGATATCAAATTGAAGAGTTTGCCACTTATGTGATGAAGGGCAAGAAGAGAAACAATAGACGAATGGTTGGTAACTTGGCAACGGGACTAAATGTCTCAGTGAAATTGACACCATGCTCTTGATCAAAACCTTGTGCAACTAGCTAGCCTTGCTTTATGGCGATCAATCGTGCCATCTGATGTAGTTTTCAGTTTGAAGATCCATTTGCAGCCTAAAATAGGTTTATTTGTTGGCGGTGGTTGTAAACTCCAAGTACCTTTTTGCTGCAATGCTAGAAATTCATCTGCCATTGCTAGTCTCCAACATTCAGATTTAAGTGCTTGATGATAAGAGGTCGGAGCAGTTGTTGAATAGGGAACAATGAGCAAATAAAAAATGACCTTCGGTTTGGAATGGCCAGTCTTCTGTCTTGTTAACATGTGGTGAACAGGAGGTGAAGTGGTGGTAGGTAAGGAGGAAGGGACGTCTGTAGATACAGGCATGGAAGAAGACAGTGAAGCAGAGAATTCATTATGTGATTGAGGTGGAGAAGTGGTATGTGGCATTTGTTGTGTAGGAGCAGTAGACAAAGATTGGTAGGTCTATAGTGGAGTGGGAATTGAAACCGGAGTGAGTAGTAATGGATTTTGAAGTGTTGATATAGGTGCAGTGGATGGAGTATGTGAGTTGAAGAATAAGGAAATATATGCTCATAAAATTGAACATGACGAGACACAATGACCTTATTATTAAGAATATTGAAGCAACGATAACCTTTGTGGATGGAAGAATAACCTAGAAAGATACATTCTTGTGAGCGAGGAGCTATTTTGTGGAGAGATATTGGTTGAAGCCAGGGATAACATAAACAACCAAAGGTTCTGAGATGCGAGTAGGAAGGTAGAATATGATAAAAAAGTTTATATGGAATGTTGAGATTACGTGCTTTAGTATGTAGGATATTAATTAAATAATTCGAAGTCATGAGAGCTTCAGCCCAAAATTTAAAAGGAAGTTTGGAAGCATGAAGTAGAGCACGAGTCGTTTCTAGTAGATGACGATGCTTGCATTCTGCAAGCCCATTTTGTTCAGGCGTATAAGGACAGCTGAACTGATGTGTGATTCCATGTTGAAGTAGAAAATTTTGAAATTGGTGACTTAAATATTCTCCTCCTCCATCAATTCAAAATGTTTGAATTGAAGTTTTAAAGGTATTTTGTACAAGCTGAAATAAATGCTGAAATTTCAAATACACTTCGTCTTTAGAATGTAGCAAATAAAGCCAAGTATAACGAGTGTAATCATCTATAAAGACAACATAGTATTGAAATCCATTTAGAGAAGGAACAGGTGCAGGTCCCCAAACATCTGA